TATATATGGGATTGGATTTCCTACATTTTTCAACCAATTTCAACAATTTTTGGCAGGTAGTGTTTCTTATTGTCTTGCACACTTTTTTCTTTATTTTTACATTGAGAATGCTTTAAAAACTCCATTTACAAGACAATTGTTTATAATAAAATTCTATTCAATCCATAGACTCATAACGATTGAAAACAATGTTTTTGTTTGAGTTTGGGTTTGACCAATTCGTAAAAAGAAAACAAAAAAACAAAAGAAAACTAATTAAGACATGCGTGTCTGTCAACCTTAAACAATAATCTTTGTCAATTTTATTTTTCAGTCTTTATGATGGTCGATACTTGATCTATCTCTTACTGTTACATCCCCGGGCAACGCCGGGCTCTACGGCTAGTTATGAATAAAATTGCTGAATTCAATAAGGTTAAACCTGGTATAGTATAAAGAGGCTCTATGTACCTGTGCCTTCCTTGGCTGGGTAGTATCAGTGATATATGTGCCAAATAGGTATTTGTAGCAGCTCGACATTGTTACTTTGCTGCTAACACAGGTGTGATTTTTCTCTGCCAAGCCTGTCCATACGTAAGGACGTTCTTCCTCCACATCATAATAGTTCATTAATTCCCTTAACTGTAGTTGTGGTTCGAACTACATAGGGAGAACGACTCAACGAAAATACACAATGTTAAGTACATTTCTTCAGACATTCTGACCCATACATATGGGTCTTTCATCGCAGAACACCTAATAAATAGCCATAATTGTGCTACTAGTTTCAGTTTGGACTCATTTACTATTCTTAGCAAGTCCCACTCGAATTATTCCTTGAAAGTGCTGGAGGCCATTTATATATTATCGTTGAAGCCCTCTCTGCGTAAACAGAAGAATATATATTGTCCACTTTTTAAGTGTTAATTCTATTTATTAGGTTGGTGCAAAAATAATGACGAATAATGTCGTTTTTTTGACGTATTTTTTAACGTCAAAAACGACATTATTACGTCATTATTTTTGCACCAACCTAATATTAACCTCGATTTAGCTCTGTTGAGCGACGTTCGAATCCAGTGAGCTGCCCGTTTTTTCAGTTTTCCTTTTTATTTATCATCATGCGTGGTAATAAAAAAAATTTTTGACTTTTCATGCCAGTCATAAAGTTTTGTACCACAAAATATATCTTTAAATAAAACTACTGCATACTTCGCCTTCGTTAGCAAATGCTGGGTCTATTCGCTTCACGACGGTGTCAAATATTGCCGCGCAAATACAGTAGCCCGCCAACAGCTGAAACAGCCATTTTTGTTTATCGTCACTGAAAACGATGCATCAATATGCCCTCTGAGATCCTCTTATTACATTCTAAGTAGTTATCATAAATTTGGTACTTCTTTTCAGCCTCTGATGAATTTGTCATGATCTATCAGGTTTTCATGCTGAAATATGCTTTACAGTGGCGTAGTGATATGACTGAAATACGCGAGTACATTAGAATCCCTGACAACCAGACTAAAAAGGCCTTTCGGATATGAGGAATTGCTTACAAAGTCCGGATATGGGCGGCTATATTTGGATTAAAATAAAAGAACTGAAATCCGATTTAACATTTATTTTCAATGTTTTTATAGACACTTTTTAAGTTTGAGTGCGTTATTGCAATCGTCATAGCTGAATGCTGGCTTTCTTTCCATAAAACTGACAAGTTTTTTCAATAGCATTTTCAATTTCAGTCCAGGTTTCATCACAATCATGCATCTCGTCGCTATCTTGTTGCAGATGTGTCTCGTTGTCATCCTTTCCTCTTATTCCCATCATCTTTTGCACCAATACAAGCCATTACGGTTAAATAAGCATGAGCAATTATCCAAAGTAAATTTTCTAAAAAACAGAAATTTCAAATCAGTTACAATTTTCCTCGACGGAGTCGATCCTTCAAATCTACAAATCAACCATCCGCCCTTGCATGCAGTATTGCTGCCATATATGGTCTGGAGCCTCTTATGTTTGTCTAAAGGTTCTTGATAAGATCCAGAGACGGATATGCAACGTAATTGGCCCTGATCTGGCATCTCTCTCACAGACGTGCCGTCGCCTCCCTCTGTCTTTTTTTACAAATACTTTCATGGTAAATGCTCCGATGAGCTGCTTTCGCTGGTTCCCAGACTTCGCGAATTCAAGCGCCCTACGAGGCTGGCATCCCGCTCTCACCCTTTCACTGTCGAAACTGTTAAATGTAGACGTCTCTTCTACTCCAATAGCTTCATGTCTCGCACTTCTCGCCTGTGGAACTCCCTCCCCTCTTCCTGTTTCCATGATAGCTATAATCTCCAACTATTCAAATCTAATGTCATTCGACGTCTCCAGATGTCTCCCTATTCTTCTCTTCATCCTTTCCTCTATCACTCCTATTTGCTCTCGCTCCAACTCTCTTTAACCCCTTGCGTGCTAGTGGCTTCTCGCCTTGCTTGGGGTGAAACGTTTAAAAAAAATGTCACCCAAATAGTTCAAATATACACATCAAAATCATGTCCGAATATTCGAGATTCCGGATATGAGGCACTCCGGATATGAGGAATTCCGGATATGAGGGATTTACTAAAGTAAGGATAGAGAAGCGAGCTGTATGTGATTATCGTGTGGTGACCGGCAAACGGGTTTGCTCCGGTACCAAAAGTATTCACTTAGGCCACAGAGGGTCATGACCTCCCCAGGCAATACCTCTCCTTCGGGAGAGGGGTTGGCTTTATTGCCCGGTGTCACAAAAAGACGGAAGTGCCAAGGGGAGGGGGTGAGAATTTTTCTGCGTTACTGTCGTCAAACCCACTTTAAGCTGACCTTGTGTCACATTCAGTAGCTACGTGGGCGCATTGAAAAGTCAAGCTCTCGATATGCACGATAAACGACTGACGTTGGACTGATAAAATACGTAAAAAAAAACACAGTAGGTAAAATTCGCGATAGTGGGGTGGGCTACAAGGACACAAGAAAAAAATGCGATTTCTTTCTTGAATGTTTTATTGGATTGAAGGTTAATGTATCGTAGCGTCTTTTATTTTTAAGCATATTATCCCAAGCAAGGCGGGAGTGCCACTAGCACACAAAGGGTTACAGAGAGTGAGAGCAAGAATAAAGAGGAGTGTTTGGGGAAAAGATACAGAGAAGGACGAGGATCAAGATCAAGGCATCAGAAGATATCGATTGACATTACACGTGAATATTTTAAGAATTTAGCTATCCTGGAAGCAAGTAAGAGGAAAGGCGTTCACCTGTTGGGAAGTGCAACAGTTGGAGTTGAAATGGTGGGACCGAGATGCCAACCTAGTAGCACCCTTTAATTCATGCAGTTTCGGAACCAGTGAAGGTAGTTCTTCAGAGCAATTTCCATGAAAATACTTGTAGAAAAGACAAAGGGAAGCCACAGTACGTATGTGAGAAAATGACTGTAGACGAGATTCCAGATCAGGACCTATCACGTTGAAGCAAAGAAAAAACGGTAAAAGATAGCATGGCAGGTGGAGTCAGGTTATTTCTGGTGTGGTTTAAGGAGACGACAATTTTTATATGAGTTTCCAATGTATTGCTGGTATTTTTTAAAAATATTTATTTTTCTTTTTTTTCTTTTACAAAAATATATTGCTGGTAATTTTTTTTTTACAAAAAGGTATTGCTGGTATTTTTTTTTTTTTTACTGTGTAAATACAGGATGTCCATAAACTTCGTGTGCACTTTAAAAAAAATTATAACTTTATTTGTATTTGCGATAAAAATAATTTGTAAAAAGGATTAGAAAGAAGTAAATCTATATTTTTAAGGTTTTATTTATTTTTTTATTTATTTTTTCCACGTGTCCTCCATTATTAGCAATACAAAGGGTAATACGATTTTGCAGTTCACGGAAAATATTTGCCAACTGATTTACAGTAATGCCTGAAATCACATTAGTTATTTTAGCTATACATAAAATTAGGTACATTAAACTTCATAGCATTTTTTACAGATTATTTCTATCGCAAATAGAAATAAAGTTGTAAAGCTTTTTTAAAGTGCACACGAACTTTATGGACACCCTATATATTGCTTGTACCTTCACGTTAAAAATGAATTTCTACACGTTCATAGTGTTTTGATTTCTGTTTGGGGGTTAACTATTTGCTCAAAGCTGGGATCCAAGCAGGTGCTACCACGACGGGTCAAGGTGGGCATGAGAACAAGATCAATTAAGAATCAGTTTCATGCTCCTCAAAGCCTCTTGATCAGAGACCTTGCTGCCGGATGTAGTTTATCGTCATACCTAGGAGGAGAAAGGGGTTTAGGTCTTAGGTGGTTAAAATATTGTGATGACAACGTCAAAGATTTGGAAATTGATTCGAGATGAACAAGTTAACAATCTAATTATCACGAAAGCAGATCATATACAGAAACAAATATTTCATCTGTCATGACTGGCAATAGATATTGCAGATATTTCAATGTGTTTTAATTACAAATTGGGTAGTGTTCTAACAAAGGATGGAAAGTGTGACACTGAGATCCGAAGATGCATTGGGATGCTCAAACATACATTCCAAATTTTAATCAGATTATGAAGACGCAGAATATTTCTTTAGGAACAAAGAAAAGCGATCTGAACTGTTACGTGATATATGGAAGCACAACAATGTCCTCAAAGATGAAGAAGAAACTTGAAGCAACAGAAACATAGTTTTACAGAAGGATGCTGAAATGACGAAGTTTTAGATTGATTGATCGATTTGTTTATTATGGTTTATCAAACTTTTCGATATTATTTAAAGCCGAAGAATATTTTTAGATTGTTAGAATATTTTGGAGATAATACTAATTTTCTGATGCAAGTCTCATTATTTAATCCATATTTGGGACGTGAAGAGGCGAATCTATACCCTTCCCACAGGTATTTACACGTAAGCGAATATAACGAACCCAACTGGAATTCGAACTCGGCTCTCCGATTTTCTCATTTCGATCCTTTATCCATTACAACATCATCCAAGCTTACAACACCTGGTTTTCGCTAGCGGTCACCCATCTATGTACTGCCCAGGTTCTATGTTGCTTAACTTCGGTGATGGTACGAGAACTAGGGTTTTAACGTGGTATAACTGTAAGCCTACAAAGTTTTGGAGCAAAATTGCAACAAGAAGGTAAGTTATCAGGAATAGATAGTTGAAATTTTTAATGAGGAAAGAAGGGTTGGAAAATCTGATACTCACAGGACAGATTGTAGGTAAGAGACACAGAGTAAAACAACGGGCTACAGAATTCATATCAACTTCAACCACCGCGACGCGAATAAGTCCGAAATTTTATTGTCGATAACTCCAAAAGAGGATATTTTTATCAAAATTTCTTTGTTATTTTCGAATTAATCGTGTACAGTTACAGTTCGGGAAAATTCTATTAGAAACTGATCGCAGAGCTTGAAATGCAATTTACCATTTTGAGGTTCCGAGTTGAAATTAGTTCGGTCACCCAAAGCAACGCATAACCTACTTTTAATGTGTTTAAGTAAATGGATGGCAGAGAAATAACAAAAGGAGAAAATTTATTAAGAGCTACAAAGGACGGGAAATTGTGGAGAGCCATGATCGTCTACGTCCTGAACAGAAACAGCACACAAAGAAGGAGAAGAATTACTGGCTGATGTGCTTTTATATGCTTCCATGTTAGTATTTCAGATTCTTGACGACTGAGCAACCGAAATAGTGCATAGATTTTATGAGAGTGTCATGATAACTCCATGAGTTTTCCAATAAGGCATGAAAGCAACTCATTGGATACAGAAAAAGGAGGGAAAAAATAAAGTTAAGAAATAAAACAGTGGATCGTAAAACCGAAGTAAATCTTGTCTTACATTTTATCTTTGTTCGTTTTTCTTCACACAAATGTTTCTTGTAGCGAATATAAAGGAGGGTATTTTTTTTCAGATTGTCTCGTCCATTTTATTCCCACCTCTCTTTCGCCCTCATGCGTGCTCTTTCTCTCTGACTCTCTCTCTCTCTCGCGCGCGCTATCTCTCTTACACTCCTAATCTCTCCTTTCTTGCTTCTTTCTAAAAACGTACATTTTATCTATCTCTCTTTCCTTCTTATTTACTCTTTCTTCCTCTCTATCACCATTGTCCCTCTGCTTCTGCTGTTGATACACCTATATACTTCCTAATTCATATTCTCACTCCTCTGACTCCTCCTCTTCCACCTCTCCCTCTCTCTCTCTTCTAATTCCTCTGGCTAGAGCGCTCTTTTTTACTTCAATTAATGTATTCCTCTCTCCCTCCAAAACTATACCTATCGATCTATTTGTGTCTCTTCAATTCGATATCCACTACTGTTTTCCATCTTTTTCTCTTCTTCTTCTTCATCCCACACAATCTATTTTTCTCTCTCTCTCTCCCCATTCCATCGCAGCTCTCTAGAACGTCTGCCTCTATGTATGCGCGTGCGTGATCCGTCGTCTTGCTGTGTTTTATTTATATCATGTGATAATTTTCTTTATTGGTAAATGCAAGCCGACTTCCGGAAAATCCTGTTCGTGATGACGTCAGTAAAGTAATTGCCGAGGCAATTTTTTTTTTTTCTTTTCGTTTTTATCTCTACTAATTCCTCTTTAATGCTGCTTTTTTCTTTCTTTTCTTTTTTAAACTCTACTTACTCTCGTTTATTTATTTGCCTTTTCTTTTCTTTTTTGTTTTTATCTCTACTTACTCTCTTTTATCTCTTTGTTTTTTTCTTTTTTATACCCCTTCTTACTCTCTTTTATTTGTCTTTTCTTTCTTTTTTATCTTTACTTACTCTCTTTTATTTCCTCGTCTTTTCTTTCTTTTTATCTTTTATAAATCTCTTTTATTTCTTCGTCTTCTCTTTCTTTTTATCTTTACTTACTCTCTTTCATTTCTCAGTCTTTTCTTTCTTTTTATCTTTTCTAACTCTCTTTTATTTCTTCGTCTTTTCATAAAAAATTTTCCTAAATCTTTTTTTTTATTTTTTCAGCTTCATTCTTTTCTTTCTTTTCTTTTTACCTTGTCCATCTCCCTCTTCTTCTACTTCTTCTTTCCTACACGTAATATTATTTTTGCATTTTCTTATTCTTTCCTTCTCTCCCAAAATTCTCTAATAATTTTCATCTATATTACAGATGTTCTTCCTTTACCCTTTTTTATTTTCTCACTTTTTTCTTTTTCATTCCTTCATTTCTTTTTCTCTTTTTTTTTTCATTCTTTAATATTTTCTTTTATTATCTAAAGTTTTCTCTCTTCGTTTATTTCTTATTCATTTTTATATAATATTTCTCTCTTTGACGCTCCCTATTTGCTTACTGTGTCTTCAATCTTTTCCCTGGTTATTTTTGCTTTCTTTAATATCTTTCACGCTTGAAATGTTCCTTTTTTTTCTTAAATCTTTTAACTTGATCATCATTATTGAATTTTTTTGTCTTTCTCTTTTTATCTCGTATATATTCGGCTAATCTTCTTTTCTTCTCGACTTTCTTTTTTCTATATTGCTTTCTTCCATTCCTTTCTTTCTTTCTTTCTCTTTATTATTCTTTCTCTCTTTCTTTTATTTTCTCTCTTTCTTCCCTTTCCTTCTTTTATCCAACACTTTCCTAATATTCTTTCTTTCTTTCTTTCTTTCTTTCTTTCTTTCTTTCTTTCTTTCTTTCTTTCTTTCTTCGTTCCTTTATTTAACCATTTCCTAATAATATTCTCTCTCTCTTTCTTCCTTTCTTTCTTTTTTCTTTCTTTCTTTCGTTTATCCAATCCTTTACAAATAATATTCTTTCTTTCTCTCCTTCTTTCTTTCTTGTATCCATCCCTTTTCTAATAATATTCTTTCTTTTTTCTTTCTTTTATCCGCATTTTTCTAATTATATTATTTATTTTCTTCTTTCTTTCTTTCTTTCTTTCTTTCTTTTATTTTCTGTCTTTCTTTCTTCTTTCCTTTCCTTCTTTTATCCAACACTTTCCTAATATTCTTTCTTTCTTTCTTTCTTCGTTCTTTTATTTAACCCATTCCTAATAATATTCTTTCTTTCTTTCCTTCTTTCTTTCTTTCTTTTCGCCAATCCTTTACAAATAATATTCTTTCCTTCTCTCCTTCTTTCTTTCTTGTATCCAACCCTTCCCTAATAATACTTTTTCTTTCTTCCTTTCCTTCTTTCTTTCTTGTATCCAGCCCTTTATTCTTTCTTTTTTCTTATTTCTTTATTTTATCCACCATTTTCAAAATTACATGCTTTCTTTTCTTCGTTCTTTCTTTCCTTCTTTTTTTATCCAGACTTTTCCTAATAATATTCTTTCTTTTTTTTTATCAAGCATTTTCCTAATAATAATCTTTCTTTCTTTCTTTCTTTCTTTCTTTCTTTTATCCAACCCTTTCCTAATAATATTCTTTCTTCCTTTTTTGTACTAATTTCCCCATTTTCTCGTTAACCGAATCTTCTTTCCTTTATTTTTCTCTATGTGTTTGTATCATTTTGCATTGTTCTTAAGTTCTCTTGCTCACGTCAGATTTATCACTCCATAACACGTTCAACTACATCAGTGAATGGAATGACATTTGAACCCTGACTTGATTTCCGGTTTTGTCTGGCTTCTACAAATCACGATAAGATACCAAACGGCAATGAAGAACATCCCTGGATTAAACGGCATTTGACAAAATGGTGCTCGATAGACGCAGGCAATTCATGTACAAAAGGAATTGCTTGCTTGACTTTTGCATATTTGTACTTTCACTTTCTCTTTCATCGTTAATTTCTACTTTCGTTTTCACTTGTTTCTTTTCCGTTTTTTTTATTTGCTTGTACAGTAGATAGTTTTGTAATCACATGACTTGTTTATTGCGACACTAGCATTGGCAAGTACTTGCCTTGAATGTCGAGAATATTTCACTCCTCTGTAATGTTCTTTTCTACACGTTATCAAAAGCATGGTCTTCATATTGTGTTTTTATTGCTTTTTTATCACAACATTTATTCTTCTTCTATATGTCATGTCCCTTCAGGACGTGGGCAACAATTCTGCACAATTCTCCTGCCTTTTGTAGCTTTGTGTAAAGTGCGTCTTTTTACTATCTCTCCAAATCCCTGCCTTCTTTTATTCTCGTTATCAACACTTTTTAAAATCATTTCACCCAAAGCAAGGCAATAAAGCCCCTATGACGCAAGAGGTTACTGAACGTTAGAGAATATCAGAAAAGACATTATTAAGTGTAGCGACTGCTATGTTTTTCCACGCCCACATTTTATTCGCCTGCGATTGACTAATAAATCAATACTGCCTTTCTATAGGACAATTTAGCCATCGCAGTTGTTGCTTTGAATTTTTCGGATTTTAACTTGCTTACTTGTTTCGTTAGTACAAATTTAGCGATTGGTTAAATTTTAACCAATCACATAGTTTAGTGCAAAATCAACTTTTCCCGCGGTTTGGCTTTGAGCCTACCTGTATAAGCTTTAAAAGAGGCGACTTTTTCACAAGCCGCCAGTAGAGTCCACTAAATTTTGCCTGTCAACACAAACCTATGATTTCACTCACAACATTTCAAACACACACACACAGACACAGAATTTTGTAATACATATATACATATCTCTCTGTGACTGAGCCAAGTTCAATCAATCAGGACTCTGTTGATTTCTCTAACACAACACACTTTCTGATCAATTGTATTCTTGTGTTATCTGTTCTAACAGCAGACTTGTTCTAACATTGATTCCTGAACATTTCTCTCTAAAGAGAACTTTCTTTCGAACAATCAATTACAAATCAAAATACGGTAAAAACGGAAGCAACTTCTTTTCCTTTAATCTATACATTGAATACAAATTATTGTATATTTTGTTCTTGTATGTTATTTCAATATATACTTGTTGATTCACATTTGGAGTTTCGTTGTTTTCTTGAATCATTAATAATACAAAAGATATATGCGTTCAAGAACACACCAATAACATAAGGAGAAAGAACAATAAGAAAACATGAATTAAGACAGTAGATAACGATTGGCACTGAAATTAAATTTTTTGAGATTCAGGTCCACTAGGAAGCAAGAAGCCGGAAGAGAGTTCCACAAGCGAGAAGTGTTAGATAATAAAATGTTAGTGTAGAACTTATGATTACACATATCCATTTCAGTTGTAAAATGATGAAGAGGTACTGCGCTTAAATTAACAAATTCTGGATACCATAAAGTTAAGTTGAGGGCATTTATAGAAAAAAGACGTACTTACGGCGATGGGAAAGTGTCTGAGACAAGACGGCTGGCCAGGACCATTAACACTGTAGATTCTTCTTTGGATTTTATCAAGAATATCTAAATAAAAAATGTGATGGTAATATTCAAAGCCTGGACGAATGGTAGACTTGTATTTGTATAAGAGAGATTATGGCAAGTAAATTAAAAAAAAAATCAGAAAAACGGACAACTGATTCAATATATTATTTCCACTTCATATCAGCGGGAAATGAAGGCGCAATAAGATTACTGAAGGTTAGCATCAGCCAAGGTGACGGAAGGCAGAAATGGTTCTCTCAGACGATTAAAAGATAACAGTTCGTTTTGGAGACGTTAAAATTAACAAGTCATTTCTTGCCCCAGTTAACAACAGATTGTAGGTCATATTTTTAAGATCAGTTGCCAATTTGACCTTATCGAACCGATGATATTAATATTTATAATGGATGCAAATAATCATGTCATTAGCGTAGATACCTTTACATCTTTGGAACTGACCGTTCACACAGGCCCGTTAGATAGATTATAGGCTGCGTTCTTCTGTGCTCCTTGACTTCTCATTATGTACCCGAGAAATGTAAACTCTCTTTCGGATGTTAAGTATAAGTGTCGTATCTGTTTCCATTTTCGATAAAACTTCCATATTGCTCACAGGTTCAGTGTTTTTCTCGTCATTCTTCTGTAGAACCATATTTCTGTTACCTTAAGTCTCTTCTTCATCTGTGAGGAATTTTCCATATATATATATATATATATATATATATATATATAAAAGAAAAACAGACTACTTGAAGGTACCATTATAATAATTTATTTCACCAGACTCCTTTTAAATGACGCCGGATCTTCAGATAGCACTTCCAAAAATCTATATATATATATATATATATATAGAAGAACCGATATTACGTAACAGTTCAGTACTCTTTTCTTTGTTTCTGTTGCATCATGTATCTTCTTCATCTGTGAGGAATTTTTACAGTATTCTCTGCCATATAGGAGGACCGATATTACGTAACAGTTCAGTACTCTTTTCTTTGTTTCTGTTGATTCAAGTATCTTCTTCATCTGAGGAGATTTTCTTTTCTAACAGTTTCTGTAATTTCTTTTCTGGTCCGCTATCAACATTGTATCATCGACATATTGTTAGTATTTTGGCTGCCATTAATGAATTTTGGCAGAAATTCTGGTTCTTTCAGGATTGAATCACTTCAAAGACAGAATAGATTTGATGTGAAAAGACATCCTTGTCTTGCTGGTTTCATTTCTGTAAAGTTTAACTGCGTGTTATATTTCGAAAACAGCAAAACACTTTTCGATGAAATTCGAACATTTGTCATTGGAAGTGAGTGTAATATGAGGGCAGGTTGATTTTTCACGTTTCTTTAGAAAATCAAAATTTGTATCCGCTGTGAAAGCTGGAGTTTGATGTCATAAGTACAGAGAAACCTCGGTTCTCGAACGTCCCACGTGTCGAAAAAATCTGTTTTCGAACAGAAAATTCGAGATAAAAATGCCTCGGTTATCGAACAAAATTTGTAACCGAACCGAGGTAACACGAACGAAATCATTTCTGAGTAGACCGCCATATTGCATAAATTCGTGTGTTGCGCTGGGCTTTTCTTTCCCAATTTTATTGTACTGTGACTTATTTTTCTCTTTTATTAGTCCTCAGTCATGGCTCCAAAGAAAGCTAGTAGTGATACAGGTAAAGGAAAAAGAAAAGTTGAGGGAAAAATAATTGTTGATATTGTCTCTTCTTCCTCAGTTTCATATAGAAAATCAATGATCTATAATATTCTTGTAAATATATATAAAGAGACGATCATGTCTTTCCTTCCCTTTTACCAAACAATAACATCTCTTTCCTTCCCCTTCCCCTTACGTCATCAAATCTCCTACATACAGGTACGGTAAAATTGAAGTGTTCGTCTATATTTTATCTATTTACTATTGGGTTTATTTATTTTTCTTAGACATAATAATCTTCATTTGTTTTGTATATA